CTTGGCAATAAAGTTAGGACCAGGCTTCTCTTTTCTCCTGTCATTTTCCTGGGTCGCATCATACCATGTAAAGATTCCTTCTGGATGCATTCGGCCATTTGCCTCCACTCTCAAAGCTCCTCTTCTGGTCTGATTTCCATTTAACCTAGAGATAGAAGTCAACTTCTGCAGAAATCAGTATCCTGCAAATTCTCCCATTGTGGATTCTCATGCTGCCTTATTTTCTCATCTCCATCCACCCAGTGGCCACAGATGTGCAAATTAAGTTTTCATGCAGCAGGACTGCAGTCGACCTCTTCTGCCTCATTAATCTAAATTGTGCCTGCCTGGTGTGATGGATCAGGTTGCTGTGGAAAGCCAATGCTAGAATTGATCCTGTGAATGTTGCAGCAGCTCTGTGGGCCCACAGAATTACATAAATTATCACACTTCCTAGCCTGAAATAATTATCACAGTTGTCTGAGCAGCTTTTTAGGAGAGATTTAATTAACTTCACCTTTGATAACAAATCGGGAGTTGAACTGGAAGGAAGCAGCTGACAGCGTAAGATTTGTCTTTTTCCAGTGCTGAGGACTGTGTCAGCAGTGGCATCCCAGTTCTGCTGCCCTGTGGTGGTAGACCTGGTATATTCTTTCTTAGGATTAGGCTGATCTAAGACACTGGTGTTGAATGCTATTAGACTCTCTCCAGCTCCAGAGCAAGGTGACTGGATGCAGCTGCCTGCTGGGAATGGTCCCTATCCCGCGCCAGCTCCGAGTTGTGCCTGGAGTTTTTCGGAGGAGGCTAATCTGTGCCAGACCAAAGCTGTGCCAGTGGTTCTTCTAGCATTTCAACAGTACCGGCTCTCATGTTCCAGTGTCCAGGCATATTTCCTGGCACTGGTTAAAGTACCAGTATGAAGTTACCTGTAATGGATTGCAGAGGAGAGCAGGAGCAGGAGGGGAGATACCGCCTACACAGCCCCCTGTGCTTTGCACTCCTGCGGTTAACTCCAGCCTGTATAATTTCCATGGGCCTTGTTAGACATCACACTGTCTCTACTGACCATAGCAGATGCGATGGTCAACAGATACTTTGAAGCCTCCTGCCTATTTTTGGGCACAAGTCTTTCCCCAAGACATGTATGTGATATTACACCTCTCCCCAAGGCTTCACTAAGGTATCTCTTGTACTTGGAATTAACACCAGGCAAAATAAAGACATTGATAATAAGATAGGGAAAAAAGATAAGTCTGTTCTGCAAGAACCGCTGTGAGTTGCATAGCCTAGCTTCAAGCATGATTTGTTTGGGTATTTTAGCAAATTATGTGAGTCTTTGTCCCGTGCTTTCACTACTGATTCTCCTCATTAGAGCATTTCCAGCAAGCAGAGGTCACTGTCCCCATCATGCTAGATGCCATACACGCACATGGTCATTCCTGTCCCAAAGATCTTTTCCAAATAGACAGGACAAAGTTCAGAGAAGTGGCATCCCAAATGTTGATGTTCTGGTGGCAACTGCATCTGTCTCCAAGTCAGAACTCGTTTATTCTCTTGAAGTCCACATGCTAGCGGTCATATTGTAGGGCTTTGCAACAGTCTTCCTTCAGTGAGGGTTTTGATTGCTTTCTGTGTCTGGAAACAAAGAGATTTTCCACCAATTGAGTCTGTGAATCAGCACAACAGTATGGCAGGAATTTTAAACAATGTGGCGCTGCTTTTCCATTACAGAAAAAGAAAGAGACTAATTAGAGAATGATTAATCACATGGATTCTGTGCCTGATTGTCTATAAAAAGATGGGGAATAGGGGTGGGAAGGTTCTTCCTTTAATCTCCTTGTTACTTCAGAATAGTTGCTTGATTTTTTTCTTTCTCCTCTTGGCCTGGAGTTAAATATGGTGGTAGTTATGCACTGTAACAATTCATTTGCTTCTCAAGAAGTAGAAGTCCTTGTTTCTGTCTCTGCCTGAGGCATTTTACATTTTACCTCTTTAGGTTTCCAAAGAGATTTGTATCTCACATGATCAAATGGCAGTGGATCAAACAGTTTGCCCATCACTGCAGCAAGGAAAAGCAGGTTTTGAGACAAAGACCACATACTATCTGCTGTGTTCTCTGTAAAAGACTTCTGTCTAACCAAGGTCTTTAAAAAATCCAGGACAAAAGAAGGAATTTAAATGATCAGGTTCCAGACTTTGAAAAATCATCTTCTGCAGAATTTTTGGCCTAAAAGCACACTACCAAAAACCCACCCCCACTACTCCCCAAGAAAACCCCACAAACTACTGGAATGCATCTTTGGGGGGTATTTTATGACTGCGATGAGTAGTTTTGTTGCTGTGGTTAGCACAGAAATTAATATAGAGCCACACAGGAGTGGAGAATTCAGGAAACTGTACCATCTGATCAGATTAATGAGCTCAGTTTAGTGCTGCCCCCGCTGCGCAAGGGCACCCAGCTCTCAGGCAGTGCACCTGAAGTCATGCTTCCTCCATGTGATCGGTATGTATATGTATGTATTGTTCACCTGGTTATTATGGTTTCTGTTATTTATGACCAACACTTTATGACACGGACACCGATTCATTCAGTATTTGTTTACGCCAAGGAGGGAGGCATCAGATCAGCTAAAGAAAGCTAGGCTTCAGAAATACCAGCCCTAACATGTTTTGTTTATTACACAGCAAAGAGAACAAGAACATGTCTTGGCAATGTGATCACAGGTGTGATATCTCTTGGATATCAGAGTTTGGAGCAAATAAAAATGCCTGGGCTTAAATTAAATTAATTTCTTCTGTGTAGATGAGGAATTCAGAAGGAAGGAATACACTGACAAGGTATTTTGTAAGTTAGGTGGGATATGTCACCCACAGGGAATCACAGAAACTAAGAAACATCAGAAATCTTATTATCTAAATAAAAGAGAATATAATTGCCAGAATTACCTGGGGCATGAAATTTGAGGTACCAGCGGGAGCCGTCTGCTGAAATACAAAGTCCACAAGGTAGAGTTGAAAGTGCAGAGCTCTGAGCCAGTGGCCGTCAGTGGGTCTGTTCAAATATTTCCCAGTTTTAGATATTAGTGTTCAGATTTTACAAGATTAGCCTTGGTTAAAGGTTTGTTTAGTCACAAAAAGATCTGACTTCAAGAATGGTTTTATCTTAAAGGGTTCTGACCATTTGTATGGCAGAAAATTCAGGCTAAGCCAGTTCATGGTGTGTCTCTCGATAAGGTCGAACAATCCAGGTAGAAAACATACTTAACTGTTTCAGCTGTTTTGGGATATTTCAATAGGAAATAGGACTATTCCCTAGTGAAATAATCACCAAAAAAGTTATTTTATATGTTCACAGATTGCAAAACTCCTTCAGTTTCTTGAAAGAAAATGTGAATATAATATTTTTAAAGCAATTAGATTTTCCAGTTTTTCATGGCTGAGCATAGGGGCTGCTCAAGCTCAATCTTGAGGGGTGGGGATGAAGTGGAAGCAGAGCTGAATGTCAAAAATTTTACTGTCCCAGGAATGAAAATTCCTGAGCTCTTGAGGAAGCAAACCATTGTGATAGATATCAAAAGCATTTTTTTTCCCAAAATAAAATCAAGTTCTTTTTATTTTGATAATTGCAATTTGCTTTTAATTTAGACATTTGAAAACGTGTTGTAAAATTAATTAACTTGCATGGTGAACTGAAAAATCGCATTATAAAAAGACAGTTCTTATTTTGGTAACATTGAAACTTTTATGGAAAGCTCTTCCTAAAAGAGAAATTCACCAAAGTTGATCCTTTCCTGCAGGAAGTTTTCTTTTGCAAGAATGCATTTTCTTACAAAACAAAAAGCAGTTTGGAAATTCCCCAGATGTTACTGATGTTTTCTTCTCATTCCAGAGTTGAAGATGATTTAGAGAAGCTCTTGAAAGTAACCTCCAAACCAAAACCAAAGGTACCATCAAAACCACCGTTGCCTCAGAAGCCAGCAGTTACCCCCAGGAGCTCTAATTCATCTCCACTGGCAAAGCCGAAGGAAAGCAGGATTCAGACAATGAATGAAGTGGACATTCTCCAGTATATCCAGGAAAATGAATCTATCAACGACGAAGATACAAATCTTTTTTGAACATACATATTTTTAAAATGTAATGATGCTTTCTTGGCCTGAAGTCCCAGTGAGCTTGGTGATGGTAGCAAGAATTGACCAGGTCTCTTTACTGTCGCAGTACTCATATGATGTTTTCAAAACAGTGCAGTCGTGGTAAAATGTTGCCTTAGATTTCCAGGGTTTTACAGGGTATGTGGACAAGGACATAGCACTACAGATAGTCTACTACTATTTTAGTATCAACATAGTACAGTTTTGGCCAGTTTAGTCTTGACTGAAAATGGTAAGCATGTTGCACACATGGCAACTGTGAACAGTGTCCAACAAACGCTCTGAGGCAGGACAGGATGCTGTTCCTGTCATTTTAGTGTATTTCAGCTCACTGGAAAAATAATTTTCCTTTTATCCCGTGCATTTTTGCCCTTTCCTCTCTGACTGGTATTTCAGTAATTTATAACCAGGAACTGTTAAGTATAGGTAACAATTCCTCTATAGTTCAGCGAAACACTGAAATCCCAGCTAAGCCTGACAATCTGCTGCCTTTGTTGTTGTGCAAATGCCGACTTGTAGCATAATTTGTAGGAGTGCAAACACTAAACGCTATGCATTTCGGGCCCCTGGGGAGAAGAGCAAATGACTGAAGATGAGTAAGAGCGCAGCTCCAGACCTATGCAGAGGTTGCAGTGTATAGGAGGTTTGGATGCTGTAGGGCTCTTGTGAACCTACTCTAGGATTCACAAGGGCTAATTTTTTCCAGCCAAGTCTTCCTGGGCTTCCACTGTAGTTAGTGAAGAGAAAGAGATTTCTCCAGGAGGTGTTTCAGTGCAGGTGTCCTAATGGAGGAACTCTGGATCGCTCTCTGGAGTCCTTCACTCTGTCTTTCCCCTTCCCTTCTCCCAGAACTTAAAGAAGCCATGGTGATTAATTCCACTAAGCTAAAATGGTTAAAAACAAGGGAGAACAAACTTGGGATCATCCAGAGGAAAAAATAGGAAGAAAATACACTGGAGAAATTTTAATATGCAGGGAAAGGAAAACATGGTAGAACAGGTATCCCAGACTACTCCTTTTCTTCTGTGCCTCAGGCACTCTGGTTGAACATGCTGAATTTACATCTAATGTGGGTTGATACCTGCTGTCATGCAGAAAGAGATTCCTGGACTCATTCCACGTGTCTTCTATCCAGATGTGAAGACAAGCTCCCCAGAGGGAAAATATTAATATGTTTAAGCCATATCACTGTCCCCAGATTTGCCTTTCCAATATAGAACAAAAGAAATAGAAAGCATTATATATATTTTTTTAATAATGAAATGATCTCTATTAGTATTTCCTTTTTAAGCCAATGAAAAATATGATATTTTGGGATCAGATAAAGCATAAGCATCATCTATGTACAGTATGTTTCAGTATAATAAAACATTTTGCTAACCTGCAGGTGTTACTGTTCTTCTCTAGGTTGTACAGTAGCAGCAAACCACAGTTAAAGGATGGATTCCATTTAAGACATGAGGAGCGTTACATGGTGTTAAAGTGCATGCTCAGCTAAAACCCTCTGTAAATAAGTACGAAACCAAGAATGTGGCTGCACTCCTATTTCCTTTGGGAGCAGCTAAAGGTAAAATTATATATGGGCAAAGGTAGTACCTGATCCTGTCTGCCCTCAGTGTCCTGGTGCAATTAGGAAGCTTGTTTATCCCATCCTGCAAAAGGGGAACAAAAGCACTGAGGAGAAAATAAATTACTTGCCAGCAAGCAGGCAGAGAAACACAGGCAGGATAAATTAATTCAGGACATCCTTCTTGTTGCACTACCTGGTGTCATGAACAATCACTGTATATTTCACTAAGGGCTGAGGAATCTTGATCTCCACTTTATTCAGCACTATTCGGGGAGACTGGTTGCCTTTCTGTATTTTTGGCCTACAGCCCATCACATGGCCTGAACACTGCTGAAACTACCATATTGAGGGCCATGGATTTAATAATCAGTAGACTGAATGCAGATCTTCACCCTTAATGGGGGACCAACAAAGGAAAAGGATTAAGATTTCTTGAAGTAAATTAGAGGAGGCATAGAAGAACAGAGCTGGCAGTGGCCTGGGAAGACCAGTTTATCCACCATCCTGCCCCAAGCAGGAACATCTGGCCTGTGTCCTGCTGCTGGCAGTCCTTACTGGCCAGGACAAGGTGTTACTGGTGTGAGGCTGCAGCTGGAAGAGTAGGCAGATGGCAGAGCAGGACATGGTGGCTGAGGACAGGTTGCAGAGACACCCGAGCACGGGCACTGAATTATTCTTGCAGTGGCAGTAATTATGCCTGTGTTGTCTCTCGTAGACATTCTTCTAACCTTTCCCTAAAAGTTTGTCTGTCTGGAGAGCAGCACTGGAGATGTCATAGCCTCCCTGCATGTGCCATTGCAACTCTTTGCCATCCTATTAGAAATGTTTTCTGTCTGTTTGACATAACTGTTCTTTCCTGCAACTTAAGCTCATTATTTCTAATTCTCATCACCACAGAAAGAGAACGAAGTATATTCCTTTCAGTCTCTTTTCTAGACTGAACAGCTCTGCCCAGTGAGGGTGGCAGCAAGACAGCTCAGGAGATCACTACGGCACCAGCTTCTCGCAACTTGGTGTGTCCTAGATGAATGTTGTCATCTTGTATTGGATTTCTCCCCTGTTCTTAGAAGAACTGCTGCATATCCATATACCAGTTTGCCAGGGGCAATAAAGGATGCCAGCATCCCACACCCTTTCATCACCACCACTTGGTGCAGGGACACTGCGTGCAGCCTTTGTTCCAGCTGGGGCTGTGGATTTCTTTCGCTGTTCCTCATAGCGATGTTGTCTGTCTGCCTTCCACCACCCCTAAGAGCTCCACTCAGAAATGGCTCGTGATTTTGTAAAGCAGTGGGAGGGTAAATATTATGTATTACCGTCATAACCATGGGAACATTCCCAGTAATACTGATGTAACAACAATGTAGCTGTATCCATTCTGAATGGCCAAGGAATACTTTGCCCCCCAGCCCTCCCTAAAATTGTCAAATTACCTAAACAACACAGGGAAGGAAGAGCTGTTAATTGTTTCTGTGCTAGATTTTTAAGATGATTTTAAGGTCAGTGTTTTGCTTCAGAAAAAAAATCTATCTTTCCTGTCAAGGAACTAACATAAAAGGATCCTTCATAAATCCCAGTGTTATGCATTTGTTTTACAATGCAAATGTCTAGCTGCAGTAATATTTATAGGCACTTAGAGGTGAGTTACAGTCCTTGAATAAATTATGTATAATGAATCATTATTATACAAGAGAAGAATGTCAGACAAGTGTAGCCCAGAAAAATTGAACATATTATTTGAAATGACATAGGGAAACCACACAACATACTTTGCATCCTGCCAGACCAGAACTTCCTTTTTTTTTTTTTTTTCCATACATCACTTCTAGTAGCAGCTATTTTATTAGCCTGCTCTTGATAACTCTTGAAATTCAATTATGGACTCTAATGTAGTTCTTGGCTGACAGGCATCACCTTTCGACATTAGTAATAGCTAGCTCATCACAAGATTGAAAAGCGAGAGGGTTATATTTAAAACCTTACAAAAGGTGTTTTCTTTAGTGATTAGAATGCATAATAGGTATCTCTATTGCTGTAGAAGCTGCTTTTTGTTTTGCATAACCTTCTGCTTGGCATGTGGCACAGCACTAATTGACAAATAACACTATATGCTTCGTTATTTGGATCACGGTTAAAATAAGGATTTCACCAAGCTGGGTGTTTCACAGATGACCCATGCTCAGGTCTGTTCTGTTGCTAAATTTTTAGGAAAGCTAATTCTCACGTAGCGTTTAAGGCCTAGTTCTGTCAGTGAGACTTTGGGTTGGGTCTAAAGAAATGCATTAACTGAAACTGCTGTTTCTGCTCATCTTTGCCCAGATGTTAGCTTCTGCAAAGAAGCTGAGCTTGCTACAGCAGAATACACAAATCAGCCTGTGATTTAAGGTCATGAAAATGCAGCACGCTCATGGGGCACAAACGCATTAGCTGATGAAAGGAGACTCTAAATGACCAGTCCCCGTGGTTGTTAGTTTTACTATAGAGTACAAGAAAGCACTGATATTGCACTTAAAAATGTGACTGTCGCTAATGTCACCAAGGTTCCTTGAATCTTTGTGTGTGTGTGTGCATCAACCGTGTTTCTTCTCAGTAGATGTGCTCTGGAAGTCAAGAAGAGAGAGGGGCTTTACTGTGAGGTTTTATCTATATTCTTACTTTTCATCTCAACAGCAATAATGGGACTGAATACAGTAATTCAGTTGCTTTCATTATTGCACTCATTCATTCCTTCCTTCATCTATAAACGCTTCTGATCCAATTTTTTCAGCCCTCACCATATCACTGATCTTCGTTTATAGCCTTCCACATACTACTGGTGTTTAATGTCATGCACTGAACCTACTGAAGAATTCAAGTGAAGGGAAATCATGTGCCTGTGTTTCTAGAGAACCATCTAGGGTACACTGCTTTGCCTAAAAATACTGGCAGTGAAAGGTGGTGATGGTAAATTAAATGGATAGTCAAATTAAGTCCTGCTGTGGGAGTTCAGAAGTCAATGAACTAGCCATAGATATTTAGGGACTGAGTTTATTCATAGCAGGATGCTAAAAATTTATATGGGGTCAAGGAGACACTGGTTAGACTCGTGGAAGAGAAATCTATCAAGGGTTATTAAAGACTCTGCTTATAGCTTGGGAAGTCCTTGAGTTACAAGTTCCTGGAAATGAGGAGAGTATTCAACAAGCAAATACTTTCGTCTTTCCCTGTAGCCATCTGCTTTTGGCTGTTATGAAGGATACTGTACTGGGCTAACCCAAAACTCACACTGAATGAGTCACTTGGTGAGGATTTGGTGACTGAAAGGACAGAACATGCTCAGTGCTTTTTCATCCTGCTTCCCGGCACCCTCAGTGAGATCTGTCCACCAGCCTTGTAATAACAAAGCCATCTCTCCTGTTTACTCAGGAGAGAT